CCTCACTTTTTTCTGTGATGCCGTTTAGAAGGCTGGGCAACATCCTGTCGGTCATTATTTTTAAGAAGACCTTCACCTCAATTTCGACTTTCTATGAAAAAAACCTGTGTGTTTTTCAATACATAGTAATTAAGTTTAAGCTGCTTTCTTGTTGTTGCTTTTCCTTTTTTTTTTCTTTTTGGTTTCGTCTTGTTTGTTTGTTTTGTTGTGATTGTTTCGATTTTATTCTTGTTTGTTTGTTTTGATTCTTTTGTGTGGTAATTTCTTCTGTGTCTTGTTGTGTGCTATTTTTTTCGTCCTCTCCTTAATTATTAACTAGGCAACTTGGCAATGAAAAGGCTGACCGCCGTTCTCTGAAACGTATTGCATAACTGTTGAACAGCTGCAAGCACTTATATTCAGCAAAATATTCAGCCGTGTATGAGGTAACTAGGATTTAGTTTCACCTTTTTAATCATATTCAAAATTTATAGTCAAATGTTATAGTTAAGGTGCAAGTTTAAATTCCTTTTTTTGTTGACAAAATTAATTTAAGGCTTAAACGAAAAAGAACCGCGAAGCCGAGGCATTGTCTACATTTAGTGTCAATTCACGTGATCACCGCCCAGAGTCGAAAGTCCAGACGCGAGACCGTTGCAGCGTCATGATTATTAAATCCAAGTCACAGCATACTGATTATCATTCACCAGTAGATGTAACAATGTTTCCTCAAAAACTTTCAATTTTTTGAAAACTCAAAGTTGTCACTTAAAGTGTCAACGGCTTGTGGAACTACGGAACATGTTTTTGCTCTAAATCAACAAAACTGTGGCATTGACCTTGTCGACATTATTTTTAAAGGCTAGCCTGTTTTATAGTGCCCAAAAGTTCTTTGAAAAAACGAACCGTTTTTGGCATCTTTTCTGTAAAGTGTCGCTAAGGGAATAATTAACCGGGAATAAGTTTACGGTGCGTTAAACGATCATTAAATGGTAAAATATATATATTCTGTTGCTGATAATTGTTTGCGGTCAAATTCAAACAAGCGTGTTTCGACTTTGTATTTACCTCAATATGTAGGACAAGCGAAATGAGAAGAAAAGTTTTGCCTTTTTTTCAGTTTCATGGCATGAAAGTAAAAGTGTTACGTAATACCAGTGGAAAGGAAAGGAGGTGACGGACTTACTAATGAATAGGTTTTAGACATAAAGAAGTTCAATGAACAACAATTTTTTATCTGTCTGGAAGAAAATGTTGTTATCATGTTGCTATCGCTTCGGTGTATTGTTGTGGTGTTTATGAATTGAATATTTTCTTTGTGTTTCTCGCCTTAAATTGTTACCTTCAACTTGGTTGTAAACACTCCTGCCGGGGTTATTAAAAACTAGACGAAGGCGGCTTATATATCCAAATCGCTTACGTAAGAAAAGTTTGCAGCACTTTTCAAAAGACTTTTCGAGCCGGCATTTAGTACATATGTACACGTTAAGATGTAATTTTACCTTGCAGGGGTGCCTCTTGCTCTCACTGGAATCGTATGAAAATTGCTTTTTGGCGGTAACCTCACAATAATATCATTATCTTACGCTACGACTTTGTTCCCTTTGATATCACGTGGTAAACCTGTGACTCTAGAAAAAGCATAATATTTGTTTTGACGCCTTCTGTAATTGTTCATAACGATATTTTGCGGTGTCAGTTTTAACTTTCTTTTTCTTCAATCTTTCTGCCCCTTCTCGCATGTTGCTTTTCTGAGTGTTAAAATACAAAATTTTATGAATACGAAATTTAAAAAAAAATTATAATACGGACTTTGCAAAAAAAACAAGCTTTTTCCCAAGCTCGTTGAAATAAATGTGGTAATACATACACGTGCTTGCTTGCCACGTGGTTCACTGTCTAGTTGTTTACAACTTTTCTGCAATAAATTATTCATTTATCATTTCGTTAATTATGCAAGTTGAGGCTACCGGAACACGTGACCGCTTGAGTGTCAACAACAACCTTGTAAAATTCATGAGCTTCCTCTCAGGAACCAATTTGGTGTCGATGGACTTCTTAGTTGACCAAAAATATTGTGTCAAATGTAGAATTTTATCGTGTTGAAGTCATTAACAACCGGTAGTTAACTTACTTTTCTGCAACGATGAGGTTGTAATTGAAATGTCCTTTTTTTTTCTATCTGGAGGCAAGCGCTTTGGTTAAAGATACTTGTCGGACATGACCGATGGTTTAAAACATTTACGCTATTGGAAGCAACTCATTTAGACTAACTATAGAAAAGTGCTAGCTAAATTATTAAAATATTAACGGGAATGACCAGGAGTATAATTCGATTGAAAAATAATAATTTCCCAAGTCTCTATTGGCTGCTTTGGAGTGTTAATGAACCGAGGAAAGTCCGCATTCCTAAACAAATCCAGTTTACTGGAAAGACGACTTCACACGAGTGAGTGACCAAACGTGGCACTATACAGTACTTTCAAAGCACCGTCGTGGTGTTTCGAAAAGCGTTATAAGGTTTGGCTGTGTGGAGAAAATGAGCTGTGATCTTGCAGAAAAGGGGGTGGGAGCTTTATGTCGATTTATGAGAACTGCGAAAGCACGAGGTGATCAAGTTTCAATGCAAACATTTGGCACAGAACCATCTATAACAACTATTTACAAATTATTTGTCATTATTTTGTGAGATTAAAAGGCTGAACATTCAGGGGTGACCACTAGGTCGAAGAAGAGTCTGTAATCTTTAAATATGGTACACAAAAGGATATAAATAAGATTTTACTTTTGAGCAGGTGAATGCAATTATAATAAGCTTCAAAAATATTTTATTTCTAAAACGCTGTGAAATGCAGAAAACTATTTACGAAATAATTTTGTTAGTTTTAACTTGAACACAGCTTTCTTAAGTTAAACAAGGTTACAGATTTATTGATATTAGTTTCACCACCTTGCATCTACTTTGGGGAACGTTTTCCAGAAAATTCTAAATAATATTGTTGTATTGATGGTCAAAACACTTCAAAAAGAAAAAAAACACACACAATTAATGTTTTGGTGTCGAGCGACTTAAATCGAAAGACGGTGTCCCTAAAATAGATGACATTGACCCAAATAATCTTTACCATCTCTTTCACTCAAAAATATATATATATAAAAAGGATAAAAATGAAATAAAGAACCTTCAAACTTTCTCGATAGGTCAATCGTTCACGGACAACTTTTTAACTTAAATTTTTAACTTTTATTTAGTAAATGCATACTCCATTAAATTCGTATACCTTTTCATCTATTATATTTCCAAAGAAATCTGCATCTTGGAGCCTTTTGTATTTTAATTCTACCTTTAACTTTCCTAGAACTGACATGAGAATTATAAACATTATTTCTAGTTAAAAATATCGTTGTTGTTGATAGTGTAAGTTAATTTTTTTTTGTAAGAAAAACATTACATAACGTTGCTCAGAAAATTTGCAAGTATCAAAGTTTATCTTGCTTCTTTGAAGAAAGCCATGTCTTACTAAACATAGTTGTGAGCTTAAGCAAAGACGTTTTTGAGCGACGCACGTCAATCGGAAGTGGTCTTTTTTTTCATTTTTGGACGGTGCTTTTGCCCAAATTTGGTAGCGTCAAGGTGCTTTACAATGAAGATCTCACTTCCGGTAGAGGCTGTTGTGCTTAAATATCCAGAAACTAAATAAATACAGAATACGACCTATAAGTCTTAGGAAGTGAAACATTATTTGCGCGTTATTTAACCAATTGTAGGTTTTTTTTTACCTTGTTTGTTTTTCTGTGCCAAATCTCTGTTGGCAGATTATATTATAGCCTCATAAATAGCTCGTCTATGCGAATAAACATGCGACTTCTGGCTGGCCCTTGTTCTGAAAAATTGGCAAAATGATAATTCAAAGTCAAAAACGATATTAATGTTGGTAGGATACATCTGTAACTTCAAGCAGGCAAATGCTTTACTATTGTTTTGACACGTGACAGGCCTAAGCTAATTTTTGGTAAATAGATGTTTAACGTTTCAAATTTATGTCCTATTTTCGGAGCAAAAACGATAGAAGTCTTCTCGACAATGGTAAGCTCAGACACACATTTCGAATCCTCGAAACGTCCACGGTATTTTTCTGTTACCTTAAAAACAGTGAAAAGTTTGAAATTAATAGATGCTAAAAATTGCTCAAAGTTTCTTTAGAAATCGATGTGAAAATAGCTTGTAAAAATACAGCCGTTATTGGACGCAAATTAAACCCACGTTATGAGGTAGTTCTTAGCTAAACCTTTTTATTTTATTTTATTTGATTTTTTTCTACGCAGCCATTCGCATTTTATTTTTTTTTGTTTCTTTTTTTCTAAATGCAATTTAAAATGTGAAAACATACTAAGCAAAATGCGAAATAAAACAAGATGTAAGGTATAAACATGAATAAGAAAGCTGAAGAGAAAATGAGGACGCATGTGATTTGATTATGTTCGAGACGTGTTTCGATCCTTTCCATTCTTAAAATGAAAGCCAATTATACAAGTATTCTCCAAGAGATTTGTTCACTACAGTGTCTTCAAAAAATGTAGTTTTTATTGATAGATGTTTTCTTCGTAATTATTGACAAGTGTAGTCGTTGTATGCTTTTCAATGAGCCTATGCAGTGTTTTGAATTAAAGTGCATAAAAAAAACTTACCATCATTTGCATAAAATTGTCATATTTTACTTATCGCAAATTAGTTTCAATAAAAGTATAGATTGTTGCGGTTTTACTGACAAACCCACCGCGTCTTCCAATTTAATATCATCGACACGAAAAAACAACAGTAGGCGTTGAAACATACGTGCATTTTGCATTTAAAAATTGTTTCTTTGAGCAGGAAATCTCTTGACAACAAGTGTAAACATTCGTCGCTTCTTCGTGTAGAGAAACCTTCCAAAGCGACAGGTGCAATTTGCCGCGTTCGCAAGCTCTGGCGCAATAAATATCGCCTTCAATTTAAAGCGTTGACGAACTTTTTTCCTGTTTTAAACCTCACTTTCGGATCTTCGTAAGGCTCTTACGTTTCCATTTGCCCTTACGCCGTTGAGTTTCGTTAGGGATTGGCTTGGAATCGCGCCATGTGAGTTTCGATTCTTCATCGGTGAGAGCCTGTTTTTAGATGACTCTGCAGAATTCTTATGATTGCTTATTGAAGATCGCTCTTCATGCTGACTAGGAAAATCCTCGTCTTCTATTAATTCATCAAATTCATGTGAATCATTCGCGTAAGACCTCGGAAGTGTACTGTTATAAAATCTTCCATGATTTGGAATCGCGCCATTTGAGTTTCGATTCCTCATCGGTGAGAGCGCGTTTTTAGATGACTCCCCCAGTCCAGAATTTACATGATTGCCTATTGAAGATCGCCCTTCGTCTTCTGCAGCTGATTCATCAAATTTATGTGGATTACTCACGTACGACCTCGGAAGTGTACTGTTAAATCTTCCATGATTTGATACGACAAGCCTAGATGACGATGCCATTGATTGCGAGGCAATATTAAGGTCTTGCATTGTGCTACGTCCAAACACATCTTCGGTAGATTCGGTAATCCCCTGTGGATTCCGTGCCTTATACTCTCTTAGCTCGCGTTTTAGCCTTTCAATGATTAAATCTTGACTGTCAGCGACACTAGCTCTTGACCTCGGCGTGTCCAAAGAAGCGGCAAGACTTGCGAAATTTTCTCTGCTTGTTCTCAAGTAAGTGCGATCTAACGCGCGGCGATCGTCGCTTTTGTGGCGCAGTCTTTGCGCGAAGCGTGTTCCCGACGCAGAACGAGCGTTTTCATTTAGCGAATCTCCATCCGATTTAGTTTTTTCAACGATCTGTTTCCATTGTGGCGGTAAACCAACAAATCCACCTGAATTTTCATCCAGGGCCACATGAACACGATGTTGGAAGTTTTCAGGTTGAGAAACCTTTTGCTCCGCCGTCGAACTTGACTCATCGTTTCGCAATAAACCAAGCTCACGGGCAAGTCGTTTTAAAAACTTTCTAGGATCCATAATGAAACCTCTCTCTATAGCCGTATGATAACATCAATAATGGAGAAATTCGTTCCTATTTTGGTTCAATCAGCTTGAGATTAACAGACACCGTAACCGCGATACTGTTGAAGTCCAATTGCTTTCTTTAACTCTTTGTTTTTTCTACTTACGGTGACTGAATCGATTATTTCCCCTAACGCTCGCAAAATTAAAACTAATACAAAAGATGAATATTAGCTCGCTCTTAAAGTAAGCCGATATTGCCAAAATAAACTTGGTAATTTGAAAAAAAGACTTTCCTTGCCGACATTTGTTTGCATAATAAGTCCTACAAACATTATGCGTCATGAACTTCCTTATATGGAAAGAAGATGGCCAAGTCAATAAACAATGCTGTTTGAATATTCTTCACGCAATCCATATGCCATTGCGCTCGTAGTTTCCAAAGGTTTGTCTCAAGGCGAGTCTTATCACTTGATTCATTCACTTTCAAATAAAGCAGCGGTTTACATGTATATCATCAACCCGGAAATATCAAAGTTTCTTTTAAAAAGAATTGAGCTCGTTAACTTATTGTACATTTGCCTTTCCATTTTGCTTGTCCAACGTGACCCTGGTGGGTCTTAAGTTTTAGTTGATTTCTTCTTATAACAGCTGGATTTTTATGGAGGTTATATTTAACTGAACTGGACCACATTTTAGCAAGATTGTTTTGGAAGAAATTGTTCACACTCGTTCATTATGTTCGTATTTTTTAAAATAATGATACTTAAAGACGGAGAATGAAATCGCTCCTTTTTGTATAAAACTCCCGAAACGACATATTAGGGCCATTTATACGAGGAAAAATAAGACGCGAACTTTCCGTATAAATGGCACATTTCGTCTAAAATAAGACGCGGCTTAGCTAAGACGCGTCTTATTACATAAGACATGCTCGAATAAATGGTACAGTTCGCGTCTTATTTAAGACGCGTCTTATGTAAGACGCGTCTTATTTTTCCTCGTATAAATGGCCCTATTATCTTATTAGTAGTAATAAAAAAAATGCCAAGACCACGTAAGCACCTGATTCTTGTTCTGTTGTGTTTTCACCAGACATAACAAAAAGGTATTTGCGGCGTAAATGTCAGTTGTTTAAAAACACCATTGTCCTAAATTGAAACATGTTGGTGAGAAATTAAACGGTTGGTTATTTTTTTGATGAAAGCTTTATTGCTCTGATCACAAGCGACTGTACGTTGACGACAAAGTGAAATCGTTGGTTGTTACTGGCCACCCGCGAGATCGTCTTTGAGAAGGTGAATAGTTCTAGGATATGCTCGGTTTGGATAAAAAATTAGATCGTAAACTTTTCTTTTTTTTTTTTCTTTTTTCCATCGCGTTAATTAAAAACTTGATGGAACTGTGCAGTCGCAGCGAGATCCTTATGAAAATGCAACCTTGAAAGATAACTCAAGGTCATGATACATTGCTTTTCCAGCTGTTTTCTCACTTAAAAATTCCCAGTAGATTTTCGAAATTGTTCAAAATGAAGGCTTCCAAATTGCCAACAATGTCAAAGTTTTGGGCCACTCTCTTTTCCGTGACTCGTTCAGACAATCGCGTGGCCTAAATGGCGCGTTTCACGTTGCTGAATTGTTTCAGTCTTTTACAGGAGAATTTCTACAAGATCAGACTTACTTTAAAAGCTTAGAGAACGCTCAGTTACTAAACACCGTTATCTTTCACGGAATGACCTTGGCAGGGCAGAGGAAGGGCAGAGAAAAACTTTGTGTCAAAACTTCACTCTGTTACCAAGGTTACAAAGTTACTGTTTTGGCGAATCCTTGTTGACATTTTTTGCCTCATTAGCATAGGCTTGTCATAATCTGATGAAGCTAATAAAATGAAATTTCTGAACATTGATAAAGTATAACAATTTTAGTTATCTCTGGAAATTTGAGCCCGAAATACCAAATAGTTTCAGAGAAATTATCTTTGAAACATCCCAAAATTTACAAAGAATGTATTGGTGGTTTTTAATTGCTGTTATTTTTTTTTGTTACTGATTGCAAAGTGCTGAAACTTGCACAAACTGTATAAATTAACCAGCTCTTTTAATTTTTGAACCTAATTGATATAAACGGCTACATCTTCTATGCTAACGAGCAAAAATGTAAACAATGACGTCACGATGAATCCGCCTGTACCTAATTTTATTTCCTCTGTCAGTTTTTACGACACAAACGTTAAATAACTTGAACAAATGCAGCACAAGTACACCAACTTTTGATAAATTGTTCGTTGACGGCAGTTTACTCTTAATGTATGCGTAAGCTAAAATACTCTATATTCTTATCAGTATTTCCTTTTATTGGCAATGATCTTGCAACCTCGCGAGAAAACGAACGAAGCCCTTGTTTTCGTCCTTACAACGTTTGGTGGATGAATGGAATCACAGTCTGATTTAGAGTTGCCTGCGCAAGGTCAAGCTTATGTTTCTGATATTCATGATATTCATGTAACTGACCCGGAACAAACTTAAGGCACGAAGTCTGAAAGTGATCTCCATTTGCTAACACCTCCATGTTCCTTTGCCGTACGTTATGCGTTATTCATAGTTTCGTAGCCATAATTTTGCTTTGGCATAAAAAATAAGGCCCGCTACGTTAAACAAAAAGCACGCTGTCAAAATAGACCGCCAATGGTACATGAACCATAAAATTAAATTCAACTTTTTTTTTCAACTTTTGCCCAGGACAAAGTTCAGGCACGAAATTGGAAACAACTTGGAAAAAAATTATGCGCGTTTGAAATTTGGATCCAGTTAGTTTGAATATTAAATATCTGTCTTCTTTTTTCTTTTCTTTCTTTCTTTTCCTTTTATTATTTGCTTTTCATTTTAAAAACTTCGAACCAAAAGCGTTCAACAATCGTACAATGCGCTTTTTATTAGGATAATGTGGATTGTGATCGCTGTGTGCAAAAACGAGCCATGGCCAAAGCTCGTCCTGCAATTTTTCCTTGTTATCACTCTAATTTTATTGAAAGGTTATTTAAACTGAAGCATTTTTGAAACTATTTGTAGTGCTTTCGCTCTGTCGGTAAGTCAGCTTTTTAATCTATTTACCGTAGCTCATTTAGTCCAAAAGCTTTTAAAACTTTTCATCATTTCCCACCGACGAACACTAAAAGCGTAGGTCTCAAATCAGTTCCGCCCGCTTAATGACCTGTTCAGTTACCAACTTAAATATACAATCAAAACTGGCGCGAACTTGTTGATACGAACCGAATTATGTTCTTTATCGATTCTGCCCGCTTTCTTTCGTTGAAATTTCAAATTCCCAAATCAGTTCTGCCCGCTTTCCGACCCCTTCAATCCATGTCAGAGATCAACACATTTAAGGCATGCAACCAAAAATTGCGCGAAATTGTGATGAAGCGGACACTTTTCGTTATCGATTCGGCCCGCGCGCTCTCTTTTGTTGAAAGTAAATTCACAAGCCCCCATAGAAAAAGGTTCGTAATGCTTTTAGCAGATTCTTCTAAAATACGAACGTTTGATACTTACATTAAGAAACATTTTCGAGTGGGCTTTCATTCTTGCTTGAACGTTCTGTAAATGTTTTACTTGTGTCAATTGACCCATACAATATTTAAGGCTGACGTACGGGAACAGATGCACGTACATCGCCAAAGCAATTATCTCATTTTTATCCGCTGAGTCACTTGTCATGTCAGCCTTGATCTCACGTGCGTTAACGAAACATAAAATGCAAGATAGAGGGACATTATAGGTCAAAAGACCATGCACGGAAATTTATCCTTTTGTCGTTAAATGCTCTAAAGCTATTTTTTCGAACCAAAAGTCGTTAGCCTTTGAAGACCTTATCGAACCCATTTTGGTCACCCAAAACTGGTTGGTAAGATAGGGATAAGCTCCATACTCACTTTGGTTACATTTTAAGGGTACTAATTAGTTTAACCTCAATTCAGTCCTTTGTCTGGAAATTCCGAATGCGAAAACTACATCAACGAGCGTTAACAAGTATTTTTTAACACAAGGAAACGGTCTTAAAGTGCATGTACAGTAAACAGCGACAACTGAAATCATTGAACCTTGCACCTATCTGGCAAAACGTGCCGAACACCCGAAAAACCAGTTGAACTTCACCAGCTTTAAAAAGAGTCTCGTGACCGCTTATTAAATACCCTTATGACGATCGCAAATTAAATATTTATCTTGGGTTCTTTTCTTCCTGTCTTTCTGTGGTGGAATAAAAATAACTTAAACCTTAGCATAATTCCCTAAGTAATTAGTTTCTGGCTAGTCACGTCTCTCCAGCGTGCCTTAAACGGGGATAGGTTTGGATTTAAACAGTTTTCTATTATATCTACTGTGAATATTCTCGAATTTTTAATAGTTATCATTCTTAATATTGGCCTTAAAAACCGAAAGTTGCCGCGCTTAATGAAAATGCATCGTGCACAGTAAACAGTGCGAATTGACCTTGGCTTAGCGGTGAGATACGTGTCTTAGCAGCTTGAGAGCGCTTACTCTATAGGTGACTGGGCCAATCAAATTTGTTAAATCTCTGAAACGGTCTTCATGAAAAAAGAAAACCAAACAGCTAATAAAAAGAAATATTCTATGGCTTTGTCGGACGCGAGTGTGCGTCTTAGGAAGTTACATAAAAGGACACCTTTTCTTTAGTATTTACTTTTAAAAGTAAATAAACATCTACTGCCGCTTTGACTGCCAATGTCACGGGGAGCGAGAACACACTTACCGCGTTGTTTACCCGTAGGCGGCTTGCGCGCGCGATAAATCGCGCGAAAACGAACTTTCAGGTGGACTAACGGAACTGGCGATCACGAAAACTAACGATAGCGTTTTCAAGCTAGTCTTATCTTTAACAGCGCTGGGAGCGTTTCAGGTTTATCTTGTCGAAAGATTTCAAGCACACAATGGAAATGAAACTGTAATGGTCGATGTATATTACTCAGTTCTTTTTTTTGCTCCTGGAAAATTCTTT